AATCTCGAGTTTTTTTTGGGATATTGATATCCCCAACACTTCCCCTTGTGAAAAAGTCAGTAACATACTCGACGGGAGTCGACCTGGATACGTTCCGGATGGCGGCGCCGTCGGTGTGTCCACCGCCTGGGAAGAAGTGTTGGATCAAATACTGAGCTGCCGGTCACACTCTCCTCTTTCGAAGCTGTCTCAGTTTTCAGCTCAAAGGTATCGAGCAATATGTCCAACGGCACAGTATCCGAACATACTTGAGTTTCCGGCGTGTTGTTAAAGCGGAGTTGGTTTTGATGTCTGGTCCAGGTGTCTTAACCAACCGACACGTCGTGCATTACACTACCGCGTTTGCGCAGGATACGACCTGCAATCCATGAATCATGTCCTGGGCAATAGTCACGGACAAGTACGGGCGTTCTCACCTTGAATGGAGTTCCAACTGCCACCGGTATGGACCTTGACTCAGTAGGTTGTGTTGGCAACATGGAAGAATGCACAGTTCTCAGTTTACGGCCCACGAGTGCCTCTTCAGGTGACTGGTGGTTTTCCAAAGCGTCATTCGGGGTCGTTCGGTACACGAATAGGAATCTCTGAAGGGCTTCGACGGATGCCTCCTCCCCTCGAGCTTTAGGCAAGGCCCTCTTGAATGTGTGGACGAACCTTTCTGCTTGACCGTTCGATTGTGGGTGGTACGGTGGTGAACGAACGTGTGTTATCGCATGTCGAGTGCAAAAGTCACGGAACTCAGCGGAGGTGAACTGTGAACCACTGTCTGAGACTATGGACTTCGGTAATCCATGCTGACTGAAAATGTTGGATAACACTCGCAGCGTACTAGATGTTGTTGGAGATGACGTCGGAATGATTTCCGGCCACTTGAAAAAGCGTCAATCAAAACCGAGTAAAAAATGCCACGTATCGGTCCTGCGTAATCAATGTGGATCCGAGAACAGGGCTTCTCAGGTCGAGGCCAGGGAGCCGGTGGTTGATGTAGCGGATTCTTTGCAGCTTGTTGGCGTCGGGAGCAGCGTTTTACAAAATCCGTGATGTGCTGGTCCATGTGCGGCCAGTATGCGTAACTGCGAGCTATTGACTTCATACGGTTGATTCCTGGATGTCCAGAATGGAACTGACGAAGAACTCGATGGCGTAAAGGTTGCGGAATCACCACGCGATCTCCAAACATTAAACAATCTTTTACGATCGCTAATGCATCTCGGCGATGAAAGAGCTGTCGAAGGGAATCATCTTTGAGATTCGAAGGCCACCGAGAATTCATGAATCGGATCACCTTTTGAAGCGTTCCATCAGCTGTGGTAGCTCTTTGAACCTCTGTTACTGTCACGGGCAGGGCACGAACGGACTGGACCAACTGTGGGTCGGCTGGGTCCTCAAATGCAACATGCGCAATAACCGTGTCTTCTTCGGGTGTTGGCTGGTTGTTGATCAGCCGAGATAATGCATCGGCCTGACCGAAGTCGGTGGTGCGTCGATATTGAATATCGAAGTCATAACCCAGCATAATCAGGGCCCATCTTTGCAGGCGGTTGGCAGAGTGTACGGGAACACCTTTCCTTGAGCCGAAAATGGAGAGCAATGGTTTATGATCGGTAAGTAGGGTGAAACGGCGGCCATACAACATTTTGTGGAAACGCCGAACCGCGAACACTAAGGCCAACGCTTCTTTCTCTATCTGTGCGTATCGCTGTTCTGCTGGGGTTAGTGATTTCGACGCATGCATAATGGCCCTCTCCGATCCGTCTGGAAAGACGTGTAGAATGACGGCACCGACACCAAAATTAGAGGCATCAGCTGCCACAACGATCGGCAGCTTTGGGTCGTAGTGGGTAAGTAGCAGATCAGAACTGAGCATCGTCTTTAGTTTGCAGAATGCTTCCTCGCATTCGTCTGACCAACACCAGGGGACATCCTTTCCAAGCAACCGATTTAGCGGGGGCCGGATGTCGTGCAACGAAGGCAGGAATGCCGAATAGTAGCTGATTAACCCCAAAAGGGAACGTAATGATGGTACATCCTTAGGAGGTGGCATCTGCTGTATAGCTCGAACGTTTTCCGGGTCAGGATAGCGACCAGAGGCGTCAAAAATGAACCCAAGATATTTCACAGTTGTCAAGAAGAATTGACACTTCTCGGGACGGAGGCGGAGGCCATTGTCCTGAATGCGCAGTAAGACGGCATTGATTCGCTCACGAAGCTCTTCGGGGGAAACAGCAACGATCAGCACGTCGTCCAGGTATGCGACCACACCTGGAATGCCAGAAAGGATGGTGTCCATCAATTGCTGGAAAATTGCTGGGGCGGTTTTGACGCCAAACGGAAGACGGTTGTACTGATACAGCCCGCGGTGTGTGTTGATTGTCAGTAGTGGGCGTGATTCTGGTGCGACTTCAACTTGAAGGTACGCTTCAGCCAGGTCGATTTTGGCGAAGAACTTCCCACCGTTCAGAACAGTGAATAGATCGTCGGGTACTGGTAGTGGATAATGGTGCTGCTGGATAGCTGCATTTAGGCCGGTTGAGAAATCGGCGCATATGCGGATGCCACCGTTAGGTTTCTTTACTACAACGATCGGCGCTGCCCAGGCAGAGTAGGATACAGGGGACAGAACGCCTTGTTCTTCCAACCGTTGAAGTTCGGCATCTACCAGTGGGAGGGAAGCGTACGGAACTGGTCTCTTTGGACGGAAGACTGGCGTAGCTCCCGGCACGAGGTGGAGGACTGCTTGTGTCGCAGTGCACTGACCGAGACCGGACTGGAAAACAATTGGAAATCGCTCCATAATGTCGGATGCATGATCTGGATGCGCTGTAGGAGACTGAACTGCATTGCAAACGGCGCTGATTGGAATGTCGGCTAACCCAAGGCGATCGAACCAATCAAGACCCAATAGGTTCAACTCAGTTGCCGTTATATAACACGACCCCACAAATGTAGTTCCTCGAAAAGATACACAGCACTGGAGCTCACCGGAAAGTTTTAACTCTCCACCGCAGGCACTGGTTGCAGTTCGAGCTGCTTGTCTGATCGGAGGTTGCCCGAGCGTGCGCCAAAGCCTCTCCGAAATGATGGTAATGTCCGACGCAGTGTCCAACTGCAGACGGATTGGATGACCATTTACGGTGACTGTCAGATACTTCCGGTTACCTGGCGTGTTGATCTGGAAAGTAGCCAGCAAACTGAGAGAGGAGCCAACAGGGTTCGATTTCGGTTTGGGACGGATGCGTGATGATTGCTTTGAAACAGCAGAGGCCGTATGCATCAGTGACTGACAATATCCATCTTTGTGTCCCACGGACTTACATTGGCGGCACCGATGCTTCTTGTAAGGACAGAACCTGACGAAGTGCCAGGCTCCACAGTGCCAACATTGTGAAGGTGGTGTCTTCTTTGAGCCTTTGTTTTGCTTCGGACCAGAACACTGCGAGGTCGATTTGGTTGGGCCAGAATTGACAGGGCCAGGCTGTTGCGTATCCTGGTGTATTGCATGAACCTCGGAACCGCCATGACCCCCGAGTTGGACCATCGCGGTGTCATGCTTCAGGTTAAGCAACCGTTGACACTCCGAGGTGACGGCCTGCAGCGTCATGGATGGGTCCTGCTCGATGCGGCTGAGGAGTCGGGTACGGATTTCTGCATCCTTCGGGGATTGTAGACCACATATGAAAATCAGCGACTTGAACTGATCTTCCGTTAACGATCCGAGTTTGAACCGTTCGCATTCTCGGTTCACGATGCCAGAATATGTGAGGAAGTCGTCTGCATCACTCTTCACTAGCTTCATGCATCGATAACGGATGTTGAAAAGTGACGTTTGCTCACCGAATATTTGTGAAAGCGTGTTGACCGTTTCATCAAAAGTGAAATCGCGCGGGTTTTTTGGCAGAATATAGTTAGCGTACTTATCATGCTCTGCGGGTCCAAGTTTGCGGAGCAGGAGGCGAACCTTCCAACTATCATCTTGAAGTGAAAAATCGACCCTGAACAGGTCTTCATAGCGACGAAACCAAGCATCAAACGTTATGCCAGCTGAGGGTTCATAGCAAAATTCGTTGATACTGCCAGCGATTCCATCAACCGACTGTGGGACGCTCGACGCCGCCGGTGAAGCCAAAGATGTAGTTGATAGTCGCTCCGTAAGTACTTTGATGAGTTGCAGTTGTTGCTCAAACATTACTTCGAGTTGTTCTGCCTCCATCTTGCGTCGCCAAATATGTTACGGTTCGATCACGCTGCGAGCAAAACAATATGATATGCGGATCGTGGCAATACTCTATCCCCAGTTGTGTTGCTTGATCCAGACTCCTAGCACGGCGGATAGTAAGAAGACAAAAAACCTCGGACACAAACTTTAATGATCCAACAACAGGCGATCATGGAAAAAATGACAATGCACATATATATATATATATATATATATATTCGTAGTTTGACCTTGAAGATGCCGGAAATTGGCTAGCACACATAAAAATACAGTGTTTTTGGGGATATTGATATCCCCAACAGGCATCTAGTGTAAAAGAAAACAGAATGGACCTTAGCAGTTTCAGCATTCATTTTGTCAACAATACTGCCGCCCGACGTGATGCCACTACCCAGATAAATAAATCTGTCCACTGTCCCTAGTGGTCTGGCCTGCTTTGGTGGTGCGCTCGCCCACTCTTTTACTAGCACTTTACACTTGGAAGTTGCAGAACATACCATAACGCATGGCAATATTATGTAGTTATTTCGTGTTTTTTGTATCCTAATGGAATCTGAACTATGTGTTGCAATATCGTCTGCATATTCCAAGTTCTCAAGGTCTCCGAGAAGAAGCTTCACGCCAGCAGTAGAACACAGCTTACGTTTCTCCGATTTCAAAGAGCGTTTGAGGATGAAAGATCAGGAAGAGCAGCCTTTTGAATGGCTACATCACTCAAGCCCGAGCACCACTTCACAGTAGTAGCCATTTTTCTGGCTTTTTGAGGATGAAGATAAAGACAAACTGCCTCTTGGCAGTCTTCTTTCTTTCCTGGTGAGCACAGCATATTCTTTCTGTTTCAGTAACAAATCGATTATTGCGGGAGATTGTGTGCAACATCTGTCTGACTGGTAATATGTGGCCGTACATAACAGGACGCCGCGAGACGCTGTCAGACATGTGGCTGTTCAGACTTATTTTACTGGCATTATGTCTTGGACGGGTGCTGGCGGGGCTTGGAGAAATTTACTGTGGCGAGGACAACTGCTACGATTGTGAGTGGGTTTGACGATAACTTGCCTGTTTTTCATTATTGTTGCTACCATGTTGTCTTTAAATATCATCATTTCTGATTCAGAATTTTTAAGAACCCTTGTGAGACTGTCACTTTCTAAAGGGGCACACTACTAATCCTACCGAGATATAACTCGAATACAACCCTGTGGAGGGTTCCAAACGGTTGGTGTGTTGCACTCTTAATATTATCTTTAATCTAGTTAGAAGACAGGCAGCGAATTACCTCGTGTCAAATTGACGGTCAAGTGTATACAGTGCTCTTTCACTCCTGGCGCGAGTATTCTGTTTATTTCACACAGCGAGGTGGTGGAATCGTTGGACTTGGGTTTCGCTCCTATTTGAGCTCATCGACAATACATGTCCTTACTCATTCCGGGATTTGGGCTCTATGCATTCAGCATACGAAGCGGGCGTGTTGCCAATCCACCAGCACACGCTGAATACACCCGAACTTTCGTTTCCGAACCCATAAAGTCGTCCGCAATCCGATTGGTGATTGGTTTGTCCAACCCTGATGGTCACTACTTCACTCATCTGAGGTACTAGAGAGCTTGGCCGTGTGCTTTTTTTGTATTCCCAAAATTTTTGCCCTGCGGAACGAAAAACTGTTCTTCTAAGCTGTCGGCAGTCAAAACTAAGGGAACACGTATTAAGGTCGTTGCTGGAGAACAATATGATACTCGTTGCTATCTTACATGATAGTTTGGGGCATTTCAAAGTTTCTTTTTCATTCCTCTCATTATTTTCATGCTTATTCCCGAAGTAACATTTTTAAAGGCTGTCAGAATGGGTGCCGGCTGTAATTTGATAGCGCCCCCTGTTGATTTCAGATCCTGGTAGTCGAAATCGTAACTTGAAAAATCATACCTGAGTATCGCTTTTATGTATGGTAGTTGATGGAGGCGAGATGGCTCAAGCGGTTAGAGCGCAAATTTCCTGACCGCAAGGTCCGTGGTTCAAACCAGACCTCTGCCTCTCGACTTCCCCTGTCTAGGCTTGGGCAACCTGACAGAATCCCAGCCCTCGTGCTCCCTTTGGGTGGCATGGCAGCTAGGCACCGAAAGGGTGTTACAGCTGAATGATTATTATGATTATGGTAGTTGAAACCCATCTGTCATTTATATTATTCCTGACAAATCCGGTTTCAGGTTTGGAATTCGGGATATTGTTGACTAGATGGACAGTATATTGAGCCCTCTGTACTCGAATAGTCTAAATGAATGGGCTTCTTATCAACCATTTGAGCTGAAGACTCCGTTCGCGGACCTCATCTAGTTGTAGGTGACTTAACAGTACTCCAATCCACGTAGCCATGATTTTGTTCGCGGATATAGTGCAATTTAGAGGCGGCAAACAAACAATCCTTTTCGTGTCCTAGAACAAAGATATCGTAATCGGACATTCTTTTGCTACCCTACTTATTCAAGGGAGCTAACTTCCGTCTAGGTGCAGTTGTTTCTCGCAGGAGTGGAACAACAACCTTCCAGTATTATTGTTGAGTACACTGGAGTATTAGGCAATTTATTTAATTACTTACCTTGTTCTCTTTACGTCCCCCTTTAACCTTGCATTCTCATTGCCCCATTACACCTCTTCATTGGAATGGGCTAATTTAAAATGACGGTCAGAGTATACTCTAGGCAAGTCAATTGCAAATGAAAAAGACCCCTAGCGATATCATACTTCCTATCACTCGCTCAGCTGAATCACTGTTATCATATGTATTTTAATTGACAACGTAAGGCGTATCTTCGTAACATTCAAATAAGGAGTGATATGCCATCATCATCATCATAGACAGGAGAACACTGAGAGTAGATGCTGGTGCGTAGCCACCGTGCAATCGTGGGGAAGGAATTCCATAGCAAGGAGTAGGAAACTTAGAGGGGGTTTAGTGCATGAATCCATGTTATTAGGGTGGACGGTCGATAAAAAACTACCTGCATCTTCAAGCAGCAGCGGGATTGAACCCCGAATCGGAGTAAGACGCCAGCATAACGATTTGCCCAATGTCGTTTGCGAACAGCATTCGTCACGACAGATAAACTTTTGCTAGACCGTCTGGCTAGAAAATGACAGCATAAAGGCTATTGCGGTCTGCTAAGCGCCATGTTCTCTAGGGTTTCCAGCATCGCACAGAGGAAATCACGTGAAACCCCGTTCAGATAGACGTGGAAATTCGACAGCTGTAGCCACCCTCATTTGGCTCGTCTATTTCATGGCTTGTCCTCTCCGAGTCTTCCGGCAGCATGTGTTCGGCGTGGAAAACAGCGCTTCCTTTGGTAGACGGCGGCTGGGCGTGCGTGATGCATGTCTCAGCAATCCTAGACTAACCAGTCTTGTTTGCTGCCCCAGTGATTCTGCTTCGTTAACAAGCGCTCGACAACGTACCACTTCGTTGCTAACTAACGCCAACTATCCTTCGAAGGCACCAGTAGTGCGAGTTTTGGAGATAGGGTTTGCTGATCGGAGGGACCGAGGTTCCGAACAATAAGGCGAGGTTACTGTCACTGTTGCTCTGTATGTGCAACCTTTCACTTCCATTGCTGTTGAACTGATGCAAAATGATAAATGCTGCTCAAGCAGTACACTCGTGGATAATGCGGCTGCAAAGGTTCATAAACTGGCCAAAAATACCGAGCCGTTCATTGGGAATCTCTGAAGGGTTGCCAGTAGAGTGGGAATCCTGTCTGTACACCTTAAATGTGTTAAATACATGTCGAAACAAGAGACCAACCATTTTTTAGAGTAGATTCTACGGTTGTCGAACAGCAGAATGCTGTCCGCATGATCCGAATCTAGTGGTCTTTCTTCAGCTGCTACTTTCATTCGTAGATTCGCAGCTCATTGTGTATTGAATTAATGATGAAACTGGATATGGTGGGTGGTAGAGTTCTCTCCCTTGCTTGTCGTAACACTTTTGGGCAGTACGTTGTAAACCCTGACATGACCATAGGTATTACAGGTCATGGAGCATACTGATCCATCTCGAGAACGCACCTTTTTGTCCAAGTACATTACCCTACCTAAAATTTGAGAAGTCCCTCTGAAATCAAGAATAAGTGCGCTTGTGGGTCGGCGATGTACGCTAAACTTCTCAGCTATTTGATGTCATGTAACTTAAATGTAATGTACATGCGACTTGGAGCACCTCTCACGGGCGGCATCGTAAGTCGTTTGGTAACAAGACATATGCAGTCCAACTGTCATTCTCGGCGAGCAGATCAATATCCAGTACTGTCAGAGTGCCGAAAAATAGGCAGTGAGATTTTTAAGGTCCTCAGTCAAAACCTTCAGCTCAAAAGCTTGATCGAAAGCTCGGAGTAAGACAACCGGGACAGTGTAACGAGGCGCTATTCATACCCAAACACCACACCTAGAGGGCCAGTAGACTGCATTTCTCAGACCTCTGTCAATCCGCCCATCTCCAGTTTTGTTGGAGAAACTCTGTGCACGCCGCATTATCCCCCTACACTAAAGTTCAGTTGGTTTCTGAAGTCCGTGAAGCGTCGCATCACGATAAGCTCCAATGTTTTTGCAACGTTGAGCTGCTGCCTCGGTTGGAATGCCTTCACCAGAGGTGACTAGTGCCACCCTTTAGATACCTTGGGCGAGATGGTCCAAGTGGTTAGAGCGCGAATTAACTGACCGACCGGTCCGTGGTTCGAACCCGACCTCTGCCACTCGACTTCCCCTGTCTAGGCCTGGACGACCTGGCAGTATCCCAGCGCTCGTGCTTCCTTCGGGTAGCATGGCAGCTAGGCACCGAAAGGGTGCTACAACTGAACGATTATTTATAATTTATAATTTGTTCGCGGAATAGCTTTAAAATTCCATCAGTTGTCCTTTAGTCAGTCAGCTTCTCCTTGCTATTCACAAAGTTGCGCGCTCAAAAAAGGTTGAACATTCCACTGCGCTGAACATTTCCTTCCAACTAACAGGGGGACACCCGTAGAGTGACCAACTATCATGGCGAGTCACTATAAAACTAAGTAGCTTACAAGCCATGCACACGAAGGCCGTTCGGGTGGGACACATATCACCCACCCTTCGAGGATTACTCATTTTCGGTTCGTCCTTTGCCTAAAACCGGTCGTCAATGTCTACTCTGAACAGAGAAGTAATGGCTCCTAAGACGATCGTCGACCTAAGTATTTGTCTGCTTGAGACTTGAAGTTAGGCTAGTTCTTGTACAATGAATGAACCGGTTTGGCGCGTGCACGACAGTTTCCCCGTCACCTTCTGGTCTGTTGTACTTCCAAAATTCAATTTGTTAGTCGATTGTGCTGGCTTGGGAGAAAGCTTTGGGAATGTCCTACAAAGGGATTCTACTTTGACATGTGTCATATGTAACCGGACTGATTTAGAGCTGGAAAGATGTTGGCTAATAAGGAAACATAACTGATTCGCAGAGGTGTTGCTTTACGTGTCGGCCGCGCTCTGTTTCTGATTTATTCCCCCTAGGTACCGCTTCGTGTTCTAGCAGTTGAGACGAGTATCTCGTAATATTATGCCACTGTTTCTGCTGTAAGTCTGTGGCAGTATATATAACCTGGATAAAGCAACCTCCTGTACAAACTTTCGTTTCCAGATAACCCTAGTCTCATTCAGGTAATCGCATTTCTGCTTGTGAATAACCAGAATGCTTAGTCTGGACAGTTCTTGGTCCTCACGTAGGACATGGTGATTATGAAGCCATGTCCTTGCGTTTTCACTAGACCTTTTACTGTAAATATAAGCGCTTCCCACAAAACGCAGCCATACATGCGCCTTCTTCCGTATTGGGACTTATGAGGCCAATATGGAGGGACACCGCAGCTTCAGGAAGCTCAGTGGCTAAGGCGCGAGCTCACTGACCAGAAGGTCCGTGGTTCGAACCCAACCCTGGTATATTGATTGCCTCTATCTGGGCTTGGACAACCAGGCAGCACCTCAGCCTTCATGGTTCCTTCGGAGATGCGTGCAAGCTAGGCACTGAAGGCACGTGACAAATGGACGATTATTGGTATTAATATATACCACTGAAGGTTCTGTTGGAAATTCAAGCCAAGGCTTGATGATCGTCACGTCTACCGTGACGATTGGTGGCTGTTCAAGGGAAGCCTTCTGACCATTAGGCAGCAGTCAGATGGTTGTCTGAATAGTTCAGCTGCTGGTTGCAGCTAGAAACATTCGACGAGTGCATGATCCTAGCTTGAAACTCTTAACATTAGGGTCACGTGCTTCGTCCAGTGAGAACGAAAGCACCTATGTGGGTCCGACCACTTCGTCCCAACACCTTTTTCACGACCGTGTCCCCCTCTTTTCAGTGCTCCAAGTCAGTCGAGACGATGACCGGGCTTTTATCCGTAAATCTTATCGCAAATTGGCCCGTGAGCACCATCCGGACAGACAGCAAACTCCCAGTGCCAAAGCAGAGGCAGAATTACATCTACGCAAGCTTAATATAGCCTATGAGGTGAGTATTTTCGTTGGTTTGTTCTTTACGCATCTGAATTCCTCGAGCAGATTCTGATGGATGAAGAACAACGGCGTGACTACGATTACATGCTTGACAATCCGGAAGAGACCTATTTCCACTACTACCGGTATTATCGACACCGATATTCGCCCAAAATTGATGTCAGAATAGTGATTGCAATCATCGTGACTGTTCTGTGTGTTATTCAGGTGGGTTTCCTCGTGTTCTTTGGCTTCTTTTCATCGCATATGACGACACAAGACTTGGTCTCCTCGATGCAATAAAACCAATCGCCGCTTCATGGAGGTTTTGTCAGAATGCTCAAACGCACAGCAATTTTGACGTTATTCGTTTGTAATACCTAACTAGTTACTTCGCACTTTTGTCCCTAACAAACCCGTTTTTGGATTATGATGAGCGGTAATTCACACACCTTCCGTTGGGAACACTTCGGCCATCAAACACTGTATGCATAAATCACGAATCGATTGCGCCCAGATCGATATTTGGTTAATTTTGTGGTGGAATCGTCAGCAGAGGAGACGGTCGAACAAATAGCTGTTAATTGCTTGTGGCTATAAGCCTATGAAGATCGGTAATGATTCTTCTCGATTTGAGTCCGAGGCGTATCTACGGGATGATGTTTGCTCTCCGGCGTTTCTGAACGGTGGGTGGTGGGAATCTGTAAGTGTTTGAGAAAAGGAAGCTGGACATGAGAGCCACAAAGACACCCAATTAGACAAATCTTTTTGTGTTTGTCCGAACTCGAGTTTTTTGTGTAAACCATCCCAACAGCCGTTAACTTATCACCATAAAAGACAGTTCATCCTTGTACACATCACTTACATGCTTCTTCGCTTACTACAACGGATCTGTGAACCTAGTTCTTTATTTTGTGTAGGCAAATCGGAATGCTGGTCCATTCCGTGTTGCCGTACGTACGCTGCTATCCAAAGCGGTCTTTTAACTGTATGCGTTCAACTCATACAACCTTATTTTTTGCTCAGTATTCATTTGTTTGGTTCTCTAAAAACGCCGAAGAGCAGTTTAGCTGGCCTTCATCAACCAAACCTCTGGAAGGACCGTATGAACCTGAATGGAACCCCGTCGCCGGACCCCGTTGACTAAACGACTTCCATACCGCACCCTTTAAAGAAGGTCGTGAATGTCTTGTGGTTATCCCGATGACTTTACTCCAAAATGTCTAGAATGAAGGAAGCATACGGACAGAATGGAGCATTTCGATGGTGATGCCTTCTTTCAAAAAAGGTACAAAACATGGTGCGAAAACCACCGGGGCGTCTGTCTAGTTCCCATAGTGTCGAATGTGCTCTCTCGTATTGTGCTACGCAGACTGATCCGTCATCTGGAGAGTCGTCGGATTCGCGAGAATGATGCTGGGTTCAGCCCTGGCCGGAGTTCCACCGATCATACCTCCACTTGATCTTCCACTCCTCCCGACGATCATCCATTATTTTTTTTCTCAACCTCAGATCTGCTTTTGACTCAGTGGATCGTCAGTAACTGTGATAGTGTCTGGGGATGAAGGTTGTCCCTTCTAAATCCTTGCTTTGTATCGGATGTAGGTGACTGAGAGACAATCAATCCATGAAAGCTCTTACCCGTTCATCTCAATCGCATTAGTGGCTACACTGAGCAATCAATTGAGTTCTCACATCAAAGCTATCGCGTAGCTCCGTAACTCGCTGCCATACCGGACAAACACAACTATTCAGCGTCAGTGAACTGATTGAGTCATCTCCCTCAGCGCTTGGTTCTCACTCGGTCATTCTGCTTATCTTCGGTGAACGAACAGATCTTTACTAGCTGGAACCACTGTACTTCTGTAGAGTGGTTTGTAGCTGAAAAAATTGAACTGAAACGTAGCTACATTGCTTGTTTGTTCACGTTTGACCATGACCGTTCTGTTCAGCTAGATTGAACACTGCGACTGTGCTACACTGGCAACACATGGTCTTCCCCGTCTTACAATACACATGATTCACCTACATCATGCGTTATGATCTCGCCGCGCCTGAGCACACTTGATTTGTTTTCAGTTTCTGATGCCGATCACCAAACTAGTTCGTACGTGTACGCGTGTTCTGCTGAACTATGGGACGATGGTGTCGAAGTCTATCACTTTGGTTTCCATTGTTGTGTGTGCGCTTTCGGTCGAGCGTTGATTCCTACTCGCTTTTAGTGATTATCGTGGTGTCTGATTACAGTGAGTCTCTGACAGGCTTTGATCACGAACACTCCATCCTAATACTTAGCTATTGACATAATTGGCGACTTGGCCCCTGGTAGCATTGCTTAACGTGTGATCAAATTATTTGCCAGTTACCCTCAAACGAAGAAGGAAGTATCTGGTCTTTAATATACTAGAATGAGACAGCTAGCTGATTGAATTCATGGTCTTTTGGGCAGAATTTCATGTGATTGATAGTCACCCACTGTGGCTGATACACACTTGTCCAATAAGCACCGAGCTGTTTCAGTTACGGGTGGGTTGAGCTTGCATCTAATTCAACCCCCCTGTGCAGTTTGGTCACCAACATTCATTAGCCATTTGTTCGTACTGAGTTATGTTAAGCTTACATGGACACTGAATAAGTCTTTTTAATGTAGGATTCTTATGAGAAGGTCTTCTGTTTGAAATTTTGGTAGAGCTCCATGAGTTAGCCAGGATTATTCCCGATCATTTGAAGTGCCAACGTTCAGCTGTAGCATCCCTCCGGTGCATAGCTCTCATGCCACTCGAAAGACGCCCGGGGGCTGGGATATTGCCAGGTTGTCCAAGCCTAGACAGGAGAAGTCGAGATGCAGAGGTCGGGTTTGAACCACAGACCTTCAGGTCGGTAGATTCACGCTCTCACCACTGAGCCATCTCGCCCCCCCTCATTTGAAGTGGGTGACTCTCAATCAACTCACGGACCAACCTGTTGGAGTTACTCACAACTCGCACGCGCACCAAAGAAGCTTGGCTTAACAGTAGTTGGAGCGAGATGAGCATGGTGGATTTGCCTTGTCTGTATTCTAAACTTACATCAGTTTGTCCCAATTCACCTGTGGTGGCATGTCTGCCTCTCTAACAGCATCCTGCAAGTACATGGCTGTGACTTGACCAAACTCGCAGATAGCGCTGTTTTGTATTCTACTTCTTGTCGGCTTATTAGTGTCGTTTACTTGTATAAGGAACAGTGTCTTTACCGACATCCGAACGATGTGAAATCAGAATCCACTGAGACTTTTTTTCAAAGCAAGTCACAGCAGAGTAGCTTGTCTCGTGTTTCTCGCGCTCAAAGTTTCGGTTTTCCGCGTCGTAATACGGCAAATTCGGTTGCCCAAAGCATGCACTGCTATGTCCACCAAACCAGGGAGGTTTCTGATTGTTGGAAGGTACCAATACCTGAGTAATGTTTCGATGGATTGCTTCTAAGTCATCCCCGTAAAACCGTTCTGAATTGTACTCATACTGGAATACAGAGGTAAAAATCCCATCTTCAGAGGTGGAAAGGCTACAGTTCGAACTCACTGAGATGGTGGTCGTGAGTATTCTCTGAATTAACGTGATGATTATGCATTTTGTAACACCCGCATATGATATTTCTTGGCATGTGGTTACGGATCACAGCCGCTCTACTTGACACAAAGCCCCTAGTCGCAACGTTTAATGCAATGTCACTGGAAAGCGTACTCCGTTATTTTCACCATGAATCAAGGTGGTTGGTGAATAAGAGAACCGACATGTGTTGTGTGGGGATCTAACGAACCCAGCGTTTGTTTATGTTCTATGACACAGTTTGAACATTTTATCTACGTCGTGTGTAGATAACATTTTGGTTGGGAAAAAACGATTTCCTGTTTGAATTCGAATACAACATTTAGGCTTCTGCATGCTCCACTCGGACACTTCTTGAAAGTTTCATACTGAAAGCTCGATTTTCGTCCTGTATCCAATGCGTCTTCTATCCAATCTCTTCTCTTTTGCTTGTTGTGTTAACTACATTTTGGAGTCTTCACATAATATAGGCTCGTCACTTCTGAAGCTGTCAAGAGTACTTACCTCTGAAAATGTACCACAATAGTTTTAGCTCGGGTTCATTCATTAGTGGTGGACCAGGTGACCGTGCCCCAAGCTTGGTAATTAGCTTTTCTTCAGTGAGGTCATCAGCGCCCAGTAATGATGTCATATTGATTGGTGTTGAAACCTTTGCAAGCTGATTGCCAAGCTTAGCGAGCAGATCAACGGCCATCTGGTCAACCACCAATATTGATTGGACACGACGGTGTTAGGAATTGAAGATACGGTTGCGCCTCTCTCAGTAGATCTTCCACGACGGCTGACTCTGTTGTCTCCCCTACTGTACTCTTCAGGGTGCTTGAGAAAGACCGTCGTCTTTTATTCATATCCTGTAGGATGCAATGGGGCGTTAATGAATATCTTGACAATCTTTGTGATCAGGATGCACGGTAATGCTTGTTGTATCTTCGGACCCTCTTTTCACTCTGTTTCGTTTCAGCTTCTGATCGGTCAAAACCTCCACTCAATCGCTTCGACTTCTGGTCGCCCGCATACTTGGCTCAAGCACTCACTAATAGTGCTTCTCTTATAACCCTACGATACCTAGCTGGCTGAAATTTATGTGGAATTTTGTGTTTTGAACGCTACTTCGCAAATCCGCTGTGATTTGTGTACCTCTTCGGCGCGCAAAGTTTTTTTCTCACGTGAATTCACTCATGGTGTTAGTAATGAGTCTGTAGATTTGAGGTTGTCCATCTATATCAGTCATCAAGATATGGCATGAAAATACACAATTCACAAATCAGTATGCCTTCAAATGTACTACCTTTTCTATGGCCCAAAAGTTGATGCTTTCAGTTTACTACACTGGACTTACAGTTTATATCAGCGATGCGATCAGCTTACTTTTTTCTAGAGATTTAAATTTCACACTTCAATGTGCGAAGCAGTCGAATTTCATTTATTTCAGCTACCCGCTCACCAAACCCATCAATCTTGATAGTGGCATTGTGTGTGCAGAAAATCATTCCACATTTCACGCTGTGATTTGTTTTAGCTGATCAATTAGTGCTTCTAAAATGAGAGGACACGGGTCTCATGCCTCAGATGACTACCAGGTGCTCTACCATTTCATCTTACCTGACGCCTTGGATTGCCACGTTTAATGAAAACACCGCTGATAACTTAATTCCAACGAGAGACAGGCAGCAATAGTGACTTTTTTCAAACCTGTTTTGTTTTCATCCTCCTGCATTCCTGGTGCTTGTTTACTTCAGATCAGCTCGGCAAACTTCCAGCTCTCACATGATCTTGTCTTCCAGACTGCCTATTCATACCGATGGTAAACGAAATTCCTGTAGAATACTGACTACTGAACCGGCCGTTTCAACAGTTTGGCCTTCTTTGCTACCCTGTGGATCTGGATTGCAGAGCACAGTCCGTTCGTAGGATTGGCATCTTCTCAAGCCAAATGTTCTAGAAACGACCGGGTTTTCTTACTGCATGTAGCATAGCTTAGTGTGGACCCTTTAATATCACCACGTTCACATCCCCTTTCACTTTTATGCAGTATATCGGGCAATGGACAAGTTACAACCACGCGTTGACTTACCTGGCTCGAGATCCCAAGCACCGTGCCAAAGCGCGCGAAATCGCCAGTGCTGACGGTCTGTTGTCTGTGCGGAGAAAAGACAATGGGGCGCGATTTACGCGAGAAGAACTGAAAGATCGAGAGGAAGCGATACTTCGTGATATCATCAGTAGGACTGTCGACCTTCGGTAAGTTTTCTTCTGGCAGGATTCGTTCTTATCAATAGTTCAGTAACAGATTATTTATCCAGAACAAGACATTCTCGTGATAGACCTGAAAAGAATCGCTTAGGTAGTGCTATTATGCATCTTCTGATGACGATTAATTGCGGTATCTGCTATCAGATGTTCTACGCACGATAGGAGGCACACCTACCGGGTCGATCGGTCAGCTGTATTTTGTACCGCGTGCAGAACACCGAATGACGAAGTTGTATAGTTTACTGAATCATTCACCATTGGAAGATTCGTTACCCGAATTCGTGGTATCCTTGGTCTTATCTCGGTCAACACATGGCAAAAACTGTGTTTTTTTTGCCTTTTTTAGATGTGTTTCTGTAATATACAACTGAAGGGATACAGCGAAATACGGGTGCTTTATCGTGCAAAAGTTCCTTTCTCTGTGCCCTGTTCGAGAGTATTCACTGGACACTAATGTGTCTCGGCGAACTTCATGGTTTAGACTCTCCGGTTTGGCTCATGTGCAGTCGCTTGTTGGTTAAGGGGAAATCAATAAATCTGTGACTCACGTTTGACCTTTGCTGCCTCCACATGATGTTGAAATATTGACCACTTCTGACCTACGCGGTACAAACAGATGTCGGGTCTACCTGAACTGTTTTGTAGTCGCGGGGACTTGGATCGTTTTTAGTTCCGGAGTTGTTGAACTGTCCTGAACTGTTGCTGAACTGTCCTTTGGTGTGAGCTTTGCACCCACGAATTGTAAGGTCATGCTCGTGGACATGCAGTCACTGTACACACGCAGTCGAAGCTCTGGGGCGTTTAACGTATCTTGGAATTTACATTAGTTCTGATTGCAATGAGACAGGTGAGGTCAATTAACGGATCTGCAAGGCTCGGATCGCGTTTACTAATTACAGACACCTATCGCGTCAAAGTGGTATATCTCTGAATCTCAAAGCACGTGTGTATCAGGCTACAGTACGGGCTGTTTCGTTGTATGGTAGTGAGGCTTGGCCTGTTCGGGAGCGGAACTGAGACACCTTCAGGTGTTCGACGACCGTTGTCTCAGAACCATAGCTCATGTGGGTTGGTGTCGTTGGATCCGTAGTGGGGCAGTTATAAAGAAAGCTTTCGTTTGCTCAACGGGTACTCTCATTGAAGAATGTGTCCAGCATCAAAAGCTGCGTTGGTTGGACCATGTATTGCGTATGCCGAACCATCGTTCGTCACCATTCGTGCAGACGCTCTGATCATATTTGTCAAAGTGGACTGAATTCAACCGCACCTTTAAATTTAATTTCTAGCTTAGCTTCATGTCTTGGTGATTCCGCATTCCTTCTCGTTCCCTGTTGGGACCCTGTGACCTCCGCGGTCTGCGTCGACTCACTTCAAGAACGCGTTTTCGGTACCGGTCTTCAGATTTTTATTTCTTTGTTCTTCTTCCAGCGGAGACTGTGCGAAGCCTTCATTACGACGGTTATTCATTTGTCAGTTGGTGTTGCTCCCCTATACGTGCTATTGCTGGCTAATTTGGGCATTCAAATGGGTCTGGTTCTATTGGATACTTCGCCATCCGTACGATGAAGCAGCTAAAGTGTTCCTTACTCGACGACGTCTTGGAATGAGTGAAGCTCAGTGGGATGGCTTGGACGAGGAGCGACGAGATGCATTCATGAAAAAACAACTGTGGGACCCGATCGCTTTCCAGGTGAGTGTCTTTTCACGTTGACCCTCTAGTTTATTACGCATCTTTGCCTTATCTTACCTTCACGCACGAGGTAATCGACTAGAAGCCATTCACCTAATAAGTAGAACACTTGATCCTCCATTTCAAACCAACCAAACTTTTGTGCTGGTATCTTGAGAAACAATCTGGTTGGCTGTGTGGTTCCGTTCGCTCAGATTTCGGATCTATGACGGAACCTTGAACAGTGAAGATGAACCCTTCGACGAAGTCAGCTGTATACACTTACAATCGAGATTTACCGAAATAACGTCCCTAAAACTATGCCATCCACCGTGTTTAAAACAAAGTCCCAACTGTCGATATATTAGGAAGAAGGAAGCCACTCCTACTAAGTGGACTGAATCAAACACAGTGCTTAAATGCGGCGCCCACAGCAAAGGCGCAAGTACTTGTTTCAACCAAGCTTTTTGTCACTGTAGCTGGACAGCTGGACGCTTTGCGTTTGTAAGACTACGGGACTCGAAAATCCGCACAGAAGTAAGTTGTGTTGATTGAATTTCCGCAATTCTGGTGTTTTATCAGTCACGTACGCGTCAAAACGCGACAATTTTTGCACAACGCATCTGCTTCTTCAAGTACTTATACGCCTAATTTCCGCCGAACATTCAGTTATAACTGGTGAAAATACCGATTAGAATTCGAGGTGGATCATGGGACCATACTTTGGGTCCGCGCTAGAGTTTTTTCAAAAATCTTTTTGTCTATGCTTGGCAAACCAGATTGTAGCTCCGGCCCAGTTCTCGTTACGGACTGCGTGATAACTATCCACGTGTATGTGGGGCTGAAGATTGGACCAAGTGGTTAGAGTGCGAATTTACTGACCGGAAGGTCCGTGGTTCGAACCCGACCTCTGCCTCTCGACTTCCCCAGTCTAGGCTTGGGCGACCTGGCAGTATCCCAGCCCTCGTGCTTCCTTCGGGTGGCATGGCGGCTAGGCACCGAAAGGATGCTATGGTTGAACGATTTTTTTTAACTTGATCAAATCGTTCCGCAGATCGATTTGGTATGAAAAATAAAGGGTTAACGCTGGTGTTTAACGGATTTGGAAGTCGTCTTATCCCTCAACTCCGCTCTAAAATTGAGCCCTTCTGAGCCCACCAGAAATTGTAAATAGGTCTGCTTGCATCTCAGGGGTACACTCAGTGTACACTTTGTGTGTCCTTATCTTTCGGCCTTCACTGACTCCACACAAAATATTCCGTAGGTGAAATACGTTCCATCACTTTTTCTCTCTAGGCATATACCCAAGCGAAAGCGGAAGAAATGCGTGTCCTAGCTGCTCAAAGCGGTCAGCAAAAGCGGTATCGGCGATACATTCGGAACACCGGTGGACCCAAGCAATTTAGCATGGAGGACTTTGATTTTTAGTATCTCCTTCCCCGCCCGCTTGCAACACTCCGGGACTGACTACCCACTGCCTTTCATCCACACCGTTTTGGATCTCTCTCTTTGTTAGTTTCACTTTGGGTGCGTGGCGTTTCTACACCGAGTCAAAATACACTTATTTTTCTTGACGCTGTTTTGTTCTCATTCGCTGAGCCCATTGGAAACAAAAAGTCAATCCACCATTTTATTCGCTGAAAGACACAACAAAAACCGTCCCATTTTCCAGGGAAATGAATTCAATGGAGATTTCCTTCTGTCTGTGAAGTCGATCTATACAGAGAAGCATTGTCCAGCTGTTCCATTCTTGTTGGAAATCATCAGCGGTATGCATCTCACGAAACTGGAGTCGAGAGTTTCGAACGCGCGATCTTCCGACCGATGGTTGAACGCAACCGTTTCGACACGAGCGGCTGATCGGCAGTGTGAATAGCTCTCCGCCAGATACGCCACGTAAGGTTCATACGGAGTACGAACGTCGGCTAACTTTGTCATACGGATGAGTAAACTTAACTCGTTAGTGAGCTAATATCGTCCATGGTCTAACATGACGTTGGATGTTCCAACTCCTAGTGCATCACTTTTTTCCATGGATCCACATTAGTGCACTGGTCACCATTGGACGTTATCGAAGTGCCCCTGCGTTCTCCTTCTCGTTTCATCGTTTTTCTCACTGATTCAGCCCGCATGGACAAGGTCCACACCGATCCTCTACCCTTTGAATAAACAAGACGACTTTCTTCTCAAGAGATAGTTCAGTGGTTAGGCCGCCAGGCGGAAGATCCATTGTTTGAACCCAACCTCAGCATCCCGACTGTTCCTGTCTAGGCTTGGGCAACCTGACACTATCCCAGTCCTCGCGGTTTCCGTTGGCATGGCACCTAGGCACCGAAAGGGTGCTGCAGCTGAACGATTTCATTTCATTCATTCTAAGTTGTATTCTAAATTCAACATTTAATGGTGCGACTGTCGAGGTTAGGAAGTGCAGCATCAGGTGACCATTAACCATGTGCCGTCTCAACTCAGCAACCCCCAAGAGCAGCCCTTCTTATCCCCTTGAAGTTTTACGACAGCCATCGCTCATCGACAACAGCGTTATGTACCACCCTCGAAAAGGGGCCAGACGCCTATTTCCTGGCAGCATTTTTATTTGAAGGTTTAATCTAGAATTGGCCTTCGATTTGCTCTCGTTGGAACAGCTTTCGTGTTTTAGTGCAAGTAGTCTGGCTAATTCACATCTAGGAGAAGTACGGAACACGAGTTTTCTTGAAAACAGGGTTCTGCAGCAGCACCTTGCTGTGAGTTTTACGAGTGTATACGTACCCTAAGGCGCCACTGAGCTCCTGGTCCGAATTACACCATTCAAAGATGGAGGTGAAGTACTCAGTCATTGGCTGTCTGATCTGTATGCCTGCATCTGGGTTCACAGGGCTGCTGAAGAAAAAAATAGTTCAGTTGGAACACCCTTTCGGTGCCTAGCTGCTGTTCGACCTGAAAAGTGGTTCAAGTACCAGACATATGAATCAATGAAGCTGCTCAGTTGTGACGCCCTTTAGGTGCATAGCTGCCATGCAACTCAAAAGACGAACGAGAGGCAGTATGCTTCATAGTTGACCGTGGGGCGAGGTGTCTCAGTGGTTAGAGCCGAATTAATTGACTGTAAGGTCCGTGGTTCGAACCCAACTTCTGCATCTCGACTGCTCCCGTCTAGGCTTGGGCAAATTGGCAGTGTCTCACCCTCGGCGCACTCTTCAGGTGTGGTGGCAGCTATATACCGACATGCGGTTACAGCTGAGAGATTATTACTATTATTCCATGACCTTCTCCAGTGTTTTAGCCATTCTAGGGGGTCTCGAGAAGTGTGCAGTCATCAGTCTTGTGAGAGGATTTGGCAAATCTCATTTTGCATTCAGATGGTGACGGTGTTTAGTGCTATTTGGAGAACTCGTGTGACGTGTGCAAAACTTAACTTCAAAACCAGCGAATGAAAGCCATCCTATCCTGGCGCTTTGTATACAGCCGAACACTGCCCAAGAAATTTTGCCTATTCCAAATCGTAATGGCTCGAAATCAGCTGGGTTCGTGTCACAGTCTCAATGGCATAACTCAAAGAAATCACCACCGGCAGATGACAAGTGTGGACAGTTCGTCTCGTTTCTGGAGCCACCGATTGACGTGTGCATATACACTCCACCTGGTGTAGTTTTAGAGTGTTCAGGCGCAGACTTCCGTACCGTGATCTCTCTCGTTTCTTCAGTGTGATTGCCTTGTTTCGTACCGTTCGATATGGAGCATACACAGCTGGAGACGGATAGATACGGTGTTGCTATATCCCTTTTCGTTTGCCAACTCACGGACCAGGCTGTGTTTCAGCCGTTTATTCCACTGAAATATGGACAGTGTGTATCAAAAATTGTCGTTAGTAGTTTTTACAGGCTCCGTTGGGGTCCAGTTCACTTTTAATGGTCTGGCCTAGAGCACATGCAGCCGGGCATATTTCGCCGAAGATAGCTATCCATGGGTTGGGTATCAAATGACAGTCAGTATGTCGGGGGTGTCAAAGATGTTGTCACTTGTTTTGACAGGGCGACGTCGGTGAGCTCTGGTGTTCTTATCACAGTGAGGATATGGAATGACAAACACTTATTTCCGCTGAAAAGGGTTAACAACATCATGATATGCATCGTTCCGGCATTCGGTACGTCAGCAAAGACTGTAACCATTGCCTGAGGGTGAAGAATTCAGGCATATCATGGCCAATTGACTCTTGGAAGGGTGAAGTAACCCACAATCATGTAACTTTGAGTGGGGACAAGGGTAGTGAGCACCAGAATAACTTTTTTGTCCACCCTATTAGGGCCATGATATTTGAACGAGACAATTTAGTGTTCTGGGCCTACAGCAGAGTGGTTCCTTCGTGACGTTGAATGATCAGCATCCGTCGACATGGGAGCCCAGTCGTGTCTGGTCTGCGTCGCCGTAAAGACTAACGCCGAGTAGAACGATTTGGTATGTTTCGATAGCCTTCTCTGATTCAGATATATCTTGGTAAGGCTTGGGTTGCACTACCTCCACAATATATTGTTTATCTTTGTCTGGAAATCACGCCAACTCACTTGTCTTTTTGGTTAGTATCCCCACGTTCGTGATCATTAGTATGTTGACTTGTCCTCAGGGCTGTAGTGGTGGCAGCTTCGTCCATCGAAACATTAAAACTACCCGAAAATCTCGGGTTGCTGGATTGGTTTGTCGGAACCAGAGCCTGGTCTTTGAGTTGGTAACTGCCAAAAGTATCTTATCTCTATCTTCCCTTGATCGGTCAAGTGCATATCGTGCTGTTCCTCACCTAGTTGGTAGGAGCGTTCAAGTAGGTTAATGGGGCCTTCGGAATCGCTGAAAAAGTCGATTAGCTGCATCATCCTTTCGGCGCCGAGTTGCCATGCCACCCGCGGCAAGCACGAGGGCTGGGCTGCCAGGTTGCCCAAACCAAGGCAGGAGAAGTCGAGATGCATAGGTCGGGTTCGAAACACGGACCCTCCGGTCAGTAAATTTGGGCTGTAACCGCTGAGCTATCTCAATCCCAGCTTTTGACGAAAATCTTGCCGTTCTGGAATATGCAGATGATATCGTTCTCGACTTCGCCGAGAAGGCAGAAGTGTTTCTGGATGAACTGATCAAAGTCATCCCGTCCTTTGGCATGCACTTTGCTGAAAAGACTGCCCATTTCAGGGTGACAGAGGCAGAGAGGTGGTCAACCTTTGAGCTTGTAGCGCGCGATGGAAGAGATTACGAAATGTCTAGATGCTGTCAGTACAATTCACCTTCCAGGATGGGAACTGCGTGATATCCATTGTGCATGGTTAGGGAAACTGCTGCTAATAAGACTCGGTGGCATTCTTGTTGTAAGTTTCTATCCAGATTGCCTGAGCGAATGTCTGGAGGTGTATTCACCTCGGGATGGTTGCGGCAGACTACCATTCCTATTCCTTCCTTCACAATATGGCTTTCGAGTTGGTCAGGGTTGTACGCCAGCGAGGCATCACATTTTTGTACTGAACCTCCGACGTCTGGTCTGCTGGATAAGCGTGATGCGAATACTCCAGCACCATGATTACTCGATGGTTAGGGCGCGAACTTACTTATCGGAAGGTCCGTGGTTCGAACCCGACGGCTGGTGCCTAGGCTTGGGTAGCCTAGCAGGATCTCAGCCCTCGCGCTTCCTTCGGGTCGCCTGAAGGCCACACACGGAATGGACCTTACAGGTAGAGCCTTTCTCGCGCTAAAGCGCTCACAGCTTTCCTCCGCATCTTGTCACGTGGTGGTTTGTGTAACCTTATGACTAACTGAGCTGCGCTGGAGATTTTCTCATACCAGGTTGATTAGCGAACATAGATCTGACTAATAGTCTCCTGGAACCTGGAACAGGCACGGTGCTTGCCCCTTAAAAACTTGTTCTGCTGTAGTAGTGTGCCGGCACCCACCCTCCGCCTTGCTTCAAAGGTTGTGAGCGAAAGGCTTTTGATGATGACCCTAATCGTCTTCTCTACCAGGACGTTGATGGTATCCCGGCCCGTGTACACCCGTGAACATCACAAATAAAAATGCTCTCTCGCCACAATACTCCAGCGTCCAGCAGCGCGTGCTAGACGCACCTGTATTATCACTCCTGGAGAGAGACAGACATGCTCACTTTTGAGTAGTGAATGCGGCGATATGATGCTGTCATTATGTCTTCTGCGATAAGTTCCGCTTGGTTGATAGGTATTTCGACGTTGTCATGTGATCATCCACTTCCGCTACGTCGTTCATTCGTGGGGATCTCACGAGGTGCGACCAAGCTTTCTCTCACCGGGTGTCAAACTTGAATAAATATGTGCTAAAACGAACGACAAATTGTGCGTACATATAACAACTTGAAAAGTTACGAGGAAGTTGATCGTCTGGGAGAATAGAAGTCGTTTACTCCTTCTCCTGTGTGTTACGCTGCTCCTTACTGGCACCAAAAGTCGTTGTTTCTCGCACAAGTATTTCTGGCTTTCTGTCCGAACCCTCTAATTTCACGGACTCGATGTCGTCAGTCCGAAATTCTTGTATCTCCTTCTAAGGTTAATCACATTGCTAGCCAGTCATTTCCTACCCTCTATCAACCAGGAGGTCGGGGTCTTGAATTCCCCCGGAGAGTTGTCTGATGCGCACCGCTGGTGATCCTTATTAAGGATGAAATTGCTGTGTGGTGCTCTGCAGCTTTTTAGCATAGAAAAACTCCACCTAAACAGTGAAACCACGGTTATAACCTCAAAATCTGTCTGCTACCTACAAACCATGAGTAGTGTGTCTAGAGGAGGAAGAACCCCTTAATTTCCATGGGCTTTTCACCTTAGAAGCCATCATTCGAGCCTTTGATCAATATCAATTCACAGAACTGTATGATTGAAGCATTGTGACCGACACCCGGTCTGCTTGGAAGTTAGTCGCATTTTCGATCAACCAGTCTCTGTCGAGTGGTACAGTACTGACTGGAAAATGTCCACTCCATCCTACGATTTATAAGTACATCCACAAGACTACAGGCAGGTTTAACTTGTCTGGAAGTACTCATGTGTTGTAGGCAGTTTAGCTGCAAGAACAGAGGAAAACGGAAATAGTTGAAACCACTAATTTTGATGCTGCTGGTGATAAGGGGCACTCCATCCTGCCTAGTGGAAAAGCTAGAATTCGAACCATTTTCTTTCCGCATAAGGACTGTGTTGTTCCAGTGCTAACTGAGAGATCAACATGACCTCTTTACCACAACCGACGCTAAGTTTAAATTTCTGCTCAAACCTGTTGGAAATCGGTTGCCCGGAATTATGAGCATTCTTCTCGTTGCTTCGGTCAATAGTATCCATCTGTTCGCCACTGGTCTTTTGCGCAGTTCCGTTTTGCACTGCACACTGGTTTAGCTTCACTGTTCTCCCCTCCAGGCCGACTCCTCCGTATCAACACGCAGACTGCTCTTGGGAGTGACCGCAAGTGTGGCGGCCATCAAGACTCCACTATTAGTAGAACAACTGACACAGCTCGGGTTCGAGGTCCGCGTGATTCCCACCGAAAATTCTCTGAAATTCTTCGATCCCAACGACCTGTCCGTTCGCGTATTCCGAGATCTGGAAGAATGGTCCACTTGGTCAAAGCGAGGGGATCCTATTCTGCATATTGAAGTAAGCTGATGTTGATAACGTCTTCGATTTGCAGCGCAGCTGCGCAATTGGGCCGATACATTGCTTCTCGCCCCGTTGAGTGCCAATACTTTGGCTAAATTGGCCTACGGATTTGCGGATAATTTGTTAACCACTGTCGCCAGAGCTTGGTGGTTTCCAGATCAGGAACATTCCGAGAACAGCACGAAGAAACGGGTAGTTTTCGCCCCGTCCATGAACACACGTATGTGGGAACATCCGTTCACCGCGGAGCAAATCGATCGACTAACTCAACGACTAGGTTGGATTTGTGTCCCACCAACATGCAAGGTACTCTTGTGTGGTGAGCATGGTGTGGGGGCGATGGCTGAGTTGGAAGAAATCTGTTCAGTTGTTTGTGCCAACCCTGATTCATAAGATGTGTTTTTCTTTCCCGAACGTCTTCACCAATCATCTGTTTCATTTTGTACACTACTTTGTGCGCTCCTGTGGGAAATAACAGTACAATACAGAATACGATTAATCTCCGACCGTTTGTTAGGTGTACGCGGGAATGTATGGGGGAATCGGATCGTGTCAACCGGCTGGAGAACAACCTCCAAATCCAATAAATTAAGAAATATATAATTACAACTCTCTTCTATAAAATTGGCTTGCCGCGGAAAGAATATCGAAAGAAGGAAGGAATGAAGCCTACTTTCCCTTTCTCATACGTTCACAATACGTGTCGCCACTGTTTGATATGTGTTGCCTTGCGAGAAGAGCTTAAACTCAGGTTTCGACCACGTCAAGTCGAATGACCAATGAGCTGCTGGTGTCGCAACTTAGCTTGCTAATGGCACGAATGTAGTTAACCGTTTCGGGTGATGTTCGATTGGTGAGGCTGGGTCATTGATGCCGAATTTCCTCAGCTTAGAGAGAGGATAAAACGGCCTGTTTGGAACCCATATGATCCTTAGGATTGTTTTGTCAAAAGCGAAGTTCCTCGTAGGGGAAAGTAGAGTGTTCCAGTGATCTTGCTAACGAACTCATTATTGGTTCGCCCTGCCTGCCTTTCAAAACACTCCCACGTAGCTCTAAGTGGTTACCTGTATAGGCAACGACCGTACCATTCGTTTGCTTGGTCTGATGAACTCCTGAGGACTGGAATTCCAAATTCATTGTTGCTACAGGAAATCCGACCGCAATCTTATTTCGTTACCTCCAAGATGGTGGAATCACACAGAACTAACCAAAAACTGAAGAAACGGCTATGGTTAAGCTTTCAGATGCTACCTGGAACATCGGTCAGGCAGCATTCGATAGTGAACTTTCCTTAACTGCCTAGAGCTCAGTGCCACAAATTCTCATGCAGCAGGCACCATCCAAACTGAAGACAGTCTCCTCAACCGAAGCCTGCAATGTAACCCCACATCAGTGACCCAACGTCTGATGGAGGATATCTAAGCTTCCTTGGTTTGCTGCACCTGACTCATATGAGAGCATGACTTCAATCGGTGTATGCCCTCAAGGTACTCAGCAATCACTCCATTTAGGCCTGAAGGTTTCTCTTTGATCTCTCTGATCACACACACTGTTCACACGTGTGAGATCACTTGAACAAAACACTTTCAATGTCAGCGTCTCACCGATTCCCACCGGTAGACTGCCAGTACAATACTAAAAGCCCTTAAACTACAGACGACCAACAAGGTACACTGATGAAGCCTTACTGTGCCTTTCCACGGTTCGTCTGAAAGCGATCGGCCGGTCATAAGCTGCATTGAGAAGCACTAAAGTCTTGCTCGGGTAAAACACGATGCGGTAGAACTCCTGTGTACCAGGGACACCCATTATTCCCGACGGACGTGGCGCTGAGTCAAACATGAGAAAAACTTAATCCGGCAATGGTAAACACTTATGACTGGTATAAAGCCGATCAGGTGGAAGATGTTTGAATGATACTGTTTCATCGCTAACTGACGCAGAACTTTGTCGGATTTCACACTTGTCTTTGCCCCATCCGAAACAGAATCTAGGGCACCGTTGGAGCCGACTCATCTGTTTTCTGAGGTAAGTAAGTTGTCAGGAAGTAATAATAACTAATTTTGCGCTCATTCAGGTTAATCGTTTTTCATTACTTTAAAATAAACGACGGTTTATTTTGGGGTGCTTCGAAGTGACTGTCCGTCTGGGTTAAAATAGTCTATTTGACCTCAAAGTTCTGCCCGTTTTTTCTGAACAATGCGTCTACACGTTTGAGGTGCGCACGACGCTGGAACCACCACATCAGAATATAACGCTACTCCCAGTAGAATACGTTTGAAGGCGGTAGATTGCTTCCGTTTCACTGTTCATGGGTCAGTGTGTTTCAGTAAAACCGGTACCACTGTTCAGATGGATTGGGGAGCAAGCCCAGACAGTGGTGATATGGCTTTAATCTGATTTCAGTTGTTTTCCCCTTGTCCGGCAGTGTTTTGTTCACTAGTAAAACTCTCGCCGAAAAAAATTGATCTACAAGGTGTATTAAGCGTACATCTGCCTGGAGATGATCACAAAGCACGTGAAATCGGTTATTTGAAAAGCATGCTCAATTTACTTCAGTCCGAACTCAAACAATACTGTGCGGTTTTCGTGTGAACAAAATACTTCCTTTAGCTGGAACTGTATTTGGGTTTGCTCCATCAGCTCGCATTTTCTGTTTGAACGATGACTGACACCTGGCTGACTGACCGGATCCGACCACATTCGAAAACTGAGTGCCTTTAACGCTGTTACTGCATCTGAACTTATCGAAGAAACTCATAGAATATTCAAGGACAGCATTGTCGGCAGCCGACCATCAGTGTTTAACAACGGGAATTCAATATCGTTCAAAATAGTTTACTTGAACGTCATATTGCATAAAAAGTATGAATTGGAGGAAGGTGTTAGTCTGCTCAAAGTGCCCTGAGGCACGCACGCTTCTGAACACCCATACGAATAATTTGGCTATAAATTGGCAACTGTCGGGCCGTTGACATCCATTAGCAGACACATCTTGCGGCATCTTTGTCTGAGGATAGCAAGAATCATGCGCGCCTCATCTTGGAAGGCAGAGCATCACGGTAGCACCAAAACCTTGTGTAATACCTTCACATCCTTTTGAAGGGTGAGAAGTCGGCTACCTCTCTTGTTGTGCCAGTCTAAATAAAGAACGGAAAACAGCACCCCTTCCATCCAGTTCAATCCATTTTATCAGCCATAAACCGTGTACCAACAGTAAATGATGAATCGGGATGCACTATACCAAACCACCGCAGCTCTGACTACTAAATAGATTTTACAGCTGTTGTCCCTTATGCACAACCAAACACTAGTTTGGCGGGCCTCATTACGAGTTCGTTGGCAGTGACCGACTAGAGGTATAGTTTTGAGACAGCGTTCGTCAAAGTCTTGGAGGCATCTCGGTTCTCCTGCTCACCAAACCCAGTGATTCAGCGAAACTGTCCGTGACGTATCCTGATATACACATCTCTTGCGATCCAGCGATATCCCCCAACTTACCTTACGCGTTTAGAACCTAGCTTAGTTCCCACTAGCATAGAGACCCGATGCTCTCATTAGACGGACAATTTTTAATCAAGGACTTCACGCCGATTGGTTGACCGTACGGCGAACCTGCGGCGTGCCCCCTCGAACCAGCGCTCTGATTGATCAGAATATCAACCAATCTTAATCAGGCCCTTTTCTTTTGACAATTGCCCCGTCACGTTCACCTTGCTGGGACGTTACCTTGAGGAGAATTTCGCATCGTGTTTTTTTGGATACAGGTGCGACGATCTCGTTTTACCGCACTACCCTCGGCCACTACCCACTATGCATTTTGCTAAACAGTACGAGGGGTGCGCAACAGAAGGCGAAGGATAGAACTTGCATAACCGCAACAGGTTAGTCCATCTACAAGGGTAGGTTTTACGGAGGCGTCCCTGTAAGAATTAGCCGCAATAGGCTATGATTGCCTACTGTCTAGCTTTTTCGTTGTTCTATGGCATTTTTGACTACTTTTGTGGTGCGAAAGTTTTCTCATTTGATCGGAACATATAGGCAGTTTTGGCACTGAAAACTTAGAAAATACCTGCAGGAAATTCTGGTGTTCTTCAGTAGATATTTATTGCTTCAAGAGAAGCCGAGCTGCAACTGTTTTATCCTTGATGGAAATCATCAGCGGTGCGCATCGCACGAACGTGAAGAGAGATGCGAACTTGCCATTTCTTGACTAACAGTTAAGGCCTAAGCCGTTGGGCCACGGGGAGGCTGATCAGTAGTTTGATTCATTCGCATTCAGACAGGACCACTCAGCCTTCACTTGAGGAATTCTTAACATACTGCCGTATGTTGGTAGTCCCCTTGAGTGGCGATTAGGCACATGGAAGCCCAAATCGTCACTTAAATTATTATTTCTTTTGAGCTCTTCAGTGGTCGCCGATTTCAAGAAACTGGTCTGCTTAGGGCGTTGTACTTTTTCGGGAGGTCTGATAAACTCATGCTAACTCATTCTCAGTGGAGGCCCACCAGAATTAGGCAAGCACCTTTTGCTAATGGTGAGTAGGCAAAATAACTTGTCAGAAAAGTGTTCAATCCTCTTCGAAGCCACACAGCTAGCAGGCGATAATTCATCTGATAGACCCATTGCAATTTCATCCTGTAAAATTATTTATATGCCATACTACTCACAAGTAGGTACATTTCATCGCAAGTCACTGACATGAGGCATGCTTCACATGCTCCTGACCAATTATCTCTACTCAAATTGCTGATGTGTTGCACCAGCAACAATACTACAGAAGTGCTTGAATTCTGCTATCCAGGGTTTTGTGGAATGTTCCAACGATAATTCGCAAGCACTCACTTTTAGCCCTGGTCCAGCCTCTTTGGAGTACGCTGCACATCTGGCACACTTATTTAGACATGATTTTTCAAACCGACTGCATATAGCAGTGATGGCCTTGATAAAATACGATGCGTTTTGTTTCTAATGAGGGTAGTCTTGCCTTCCGAATCAGATACAAAGATGTGTCAATCACTGTACTCTTAGACCACTGATTGCTTGCGTGGATAGATTAACCTCCAAATAATCTTGGCCATTAAGAGATACTCTTGAAGTTTTCGAAAATTCTTCGCACTATGTATTTTAATATAGCCGACGGTTTATGGCTTTTCAAAAGATAACGCAAAGCTTCTTCGCCCACAGTGGGGGTCGTTAGGTCTATCCCCTTTATCCGGTTTGTTCAGCTTTGGTAGTTATTAAAGAAGGAACTGTTCTCTTTGCTTTACTGAAGCCACAACAAGCATAGTGGGATACTAGTAAACATATGCGCCGGTTGTTCACGTTCTGCTGTGCCTCTGGTCACTGAACCCTTGCGGTTTGGCATAATATCCGCTACTGCCACACTCAG